CCAGCAATATCACGGCGGGGGGACACCAGAAATGGGCTTCACACATTGTACCCATGTGGGGATTCGAACCCGGGTCTTCGTCGTGACGAGCCAACGCTTTAACCACTAGGCTACCCCACCGCCCCGACATGGCAAGAGCATACAGGGCTCGTACTGTTACCGAGTATCTTCAGTAGGGAAATACAATCACCTTACCATGGCCAGCACTCAGTCCTGACTTGTCACCAATCAAATATGACTGGGGCATCCTCCACGTCACCGTCAACAACCACCGCCCTCCAGGAAGAATGGGATGAAATGAACCAAATTGACGTTTGATTAGGAGTATGCCTCGTCGAATCCAGGATTGTCTTGAAAACTGAGTCCGATTCACCCGATGTTAATGAGTTTTACTTTTCATGGTAAATGACGTGACGAACGGTAGGGCCATTTGGTCTATCCCCTAACAAAATCTATCGTCACAGTGAAAGAAACCTTTCAAAATTTCCCACTAGACCACCGGACCGGTTAGTGGTCCTGTCTGTACTTCCAACATAACATTTACCTAACTATCAATACAAAATTCACTGGCCACCAGGACCACTGCAAACGTTATCATTTAGTGGTCCTGATGAAATTTTACTAGCCAGGACCAGCCTAAATTTTGCACACTGCCTTCATCAGACGTTCAACGACTAATGCAAACCAGATCCTACACTATTTTTACCCTTCTTTTTCGATGATATACATATATTTTGTATTTTGTATACACACTTGCTACTGCAGACCCCGTCATGTGCAGACCCGTGAAAATCCGGGTCATTGATGGTGCAGCCAATATTTCAGTCAGATTTGACTGACTGACTGACTGAGTTTGGTTTTACGCCGCTTTTAGCAATATTCCAGCAACATCACGGCGGGGGACACCAGAAATGGGCTTCACACATTGTACCCATGTGGGGATTCGAACCCGTGTCTTCGGCGTGACGAGCCAACGCTTTAACCACTAGGCTACCCAACCGCCCCCAGTCAGATTTGAGGAACATGTCTGACAAAGTGCAAGTTCAGTCGACATGACAAATACGGAATGTCAGTCGGCACAGTACTTTTTTGGTTGATGCACGCCCTTGTATTCCAGGATCCAGATGGGGAGATCGACGCACGTGTTGTCAACCACTGGATTGTTTGGTTCAGACGCGATAATTGACAGACAACACCCCCACCCGCAAAGGAAAATAGCATCATTTCCAATTAGCAGAGTGTATACTCTTTCTAATATCCAAATGTATAATGTTGGCATTCACATACTGGGAATATCTGAGGTGTGGTGAGCGCTCACATGGGACAACATGCTCGCATTAGCATTATGGATGTCAAATTTCCCATTGCACTAAGTTGTGCTTTAGTCTGGGATTCATTTAGACCATCTCTTCAGATTTCCCAGAAGCATTCCCATGGAAGTGTTTGCAGTGACCTTTAACGTTGTTAACATGAATACGTTCAGCGTGCACGTAACTGTATAGCCTTCTTACTGGCGTGCCACTGTCTTCACGTTCACAATGGCGTGTTCACAGTAATGTGACCCGTACTTGTATTTGTAGGCACACTGGTATAGTTCATGTTAGTTCATAAATGCAGTTACATATTGTGACTTATTCTGTTCAGGTGAACAATTGACTAGCCTTTGCATGTGTTTGTGATGGGTGCCCCCAGCGGGTCAGATTACGCTCACCGTTTCTGTTTGGTGATTCACAAACATGTGATATAGTTTATTCTTATGATTAGGGAATGACTTTTTGCACTCACCATCCTGACCCCTTTAGTCACTGTCTCACCACCTGGCCAATTTAGTTACAGAGTCTCACCACATCACCCATTTAGTTCCCGAGTCTCACCACCTGACCCTTTAGTTACCGAGTCTCACCACATCACCCATTTAGTCACTGGCACATCACCTGACCCTTTAGTCACTGAGTCTCGGGGCGCGGTGGGTGAACTGTCTAAGGCACCAGGCTAGTAATCCAGTGAGCTTGGGGGTGCAGGGATCGAGCCCATCTGTGACCGAGTGTAAAAAAACCTTGGAGTCAACTTGGTGTGCAGACTCTTTCAGTGTTGTCACAACCCCTAGTGTACAACCCTTTGCATTTAAAAGAACCCACGAATCCGTTGGTATATGACCAGATGGTGGCCATATGAATACGTGCAAACACCCAGTTGCGGGTACAGCAACGTGCAGTGAACTTGGACAAAGTACTGTGACTGTGTCCCAGTCCACCCAGCTGTGAATGGGTACCTCCTAAGGATGGAAAAGCCACATTAACTCGGTGCGCCTAGTAGGCAGCAAGAGTTGTATGCTCCCCAGGGAGTTGAGATTGAAAATATGATGTGCCGTTGTGATGGACATCCAATGATCAAGGGAAAACAAAGCGCCTTTGAGCAGTTGTACTGGATATTGGCGCTATACAAATGTTTGTATGTATGTATGTCTCACCACCTGACCCATTTAGTCACCAAGTCTCACCACCTGACCCATTTAGTCACAAAGTCTCACCACCTGTCCCCTTTAGTAACAAGTCTCACCATCTGACCCTTTAGTCACGGACTCTCATCACCTGACCCCTTTAGTCACCAAGTCTCACCACCTGACCCCTTTAGTCACCAAGTCTCACCACCTTACCCATTTAGTCACCAAGTCTCACCACCTGACCCATTTAGTCACCAAGTCTCACCACCTAACACTCACTTACTCACCAAGTCTCACCACCTGACCCCTTTAGTCACCAAGTCTCACCACCTGACCCATTTAGTCACCAAGTCTCACCACCTGACCCATTTAGTCACTAAGTCTCACCACCTGACCCATTTAGTCACGGAGTCTCACCACCTGTCCCCTTTAGTAACAAGTCTCACCATCTGACCCTTTAGTCACGGACTCTCATCACCTGTCCCCTTTAGTAACAAGTCTCACCACCTGACCCCTTTAGTCACCAAGTCTCACCACCTTACCCATTTAGTCACCAAGTCTCACCACCTGACCCATTTAGTCACCGAGTTTCACCACCTGACCCATTTAGTCACCAAGTCTCACCACCTAACACTCACTTACTCACCAAGTCTCGCCCACTTACTCACCACTTGAACCCTTTAGTCACCCCATCTCACCACCTCACCCATTTAGTCACGGAGTCTCACCACCTGACCCCTTTAGTCACGGAGTCTCACAACCTGACCCATTTAGTCACCAACTCTCACCGCCTTACCCCTTTAGTCACAGAGTCTCACCACCTGACCCATTTAGTCACCAAGCCTCAACACCTGACCCATTTAGTCACCAAGCCTCACCACCTGACCCTTTAGTCACTGAGTCTCACCACCTGACCCCTTTAGTCACGGAGTCTCACCACCTGACCCATTTAGTCACCAACTCTCACCGCCTGACCCCTTTAGTCACAGTCTCACCACCTGACCTCTTTAGTCACCAGGCCTCACCACCTGACCCATTTAGTCACCATGCTCACCACCTGAACCCTTTAGTCACCCCATCTCACCACCTGACCCATTTAGTCACCAACTCTCACCACCTGACCCCTTTAGTCACGGAGTCTCACCACCTGACCCACTTAGTCACCAACTCTCACCGCCTTACCCCTTTAGTCACAGTCTCACCACCTGACCCCTTTAGTCACCAAGCCTCACCACCTGACACATTTAGTCACCAAGCCTCACCACCTGACCCCTTTAGTCACCAAGTCTCACCACCTGCCCTTTAGTCACTGAGTCTCACCACCTAACCCCTTTAGTCACTGAGTCTCACCACCTGCCCTTTAGTCACTGAGTCTCACCACCTGACCCCTTTAGTCACCAAATCTCACTACCTGACCCTTTAGTCACTCACTCACTCACTCACTCACTTGGGTCTGAAAACAATTGAGGCACATGGCCTGTTTACAACTTCAAACAGATGATTGAAAGCATTATTTTGATAAAATGGTTTATAGGTCATGTAACATGGACGGATGCAAATAACAATATCATAAATAAAACAGAAAAAATAATTCAAATATGTTCATATGTGTTAGCGTCTTGAGCATGTACAAGTGTGTTTAAATAGGTGTTTCATAAACAGCCATCATTGTTATTATCATTATTTACACAATTTCATACCTATAAACATGTTTGGGACAGAATGGAAACTGAGCTGTTGTTCATGAACAAAATGACACTGGAATGCTGCATACTGATTTCAAATCAAGGAATAAATGTAGTCAAATATCTGCATTTTCTTTAAAACAACTGATGAAATATCACATAATAAATTGGATGCACTGGAACAAAATACAATGATTGATTAATAAATAATAATGTTATGTTAGTAATGTTCGAAGGGTAAAACATGACTTGTTCCTTCATGAACGATGAACCATGAAGCCTTCATGAACGATGAACCATGAACAAATCTTTCTTAAATAAATTTCCTGGAAAGATATTTTAGACTATGCACCAAAAGATGACAAGGCTAGAAGATATCAGGAATAATGGTAACATGAACATGATATAGTTGACACATTTTGTTTTACACAACAAGGACATCTTGAAACAGACACTGTATGGAGGTTTCATGTTATTGAAAGGGCTTGTTTTATAGAAATTAACCCTACTTGCACCCAGTGCAACCTTAGGTAATAACCTTGTTGCACCAGGAAACAACAGGTTGCACCTGCTGCTGAAAAAATCATTGTTATGGATTTCTTTATGCTGTCTCATTTATCACATGAACAATTGTTAACCAGGGCCTAGATTTTCGAAGCTCTCTAAGAGGTAAGATAGTCGTAAGTTAATGTTACTGTATGACACTTACGACCATCTTAACGCTAGGAGAGCTTCGTAAATCTAGGTCCAGGGCCCTTATTCTCAAAACGTTCGTAGCCCTAAGAATTCGTAACTTTGATCTTGGCCAATGTGTTAAGAATGGGCTTAAGAAGTTCGTAGGGCTACGAATGTTTCGAGAATAGCTAGCCTGGTCACTAACTTATTAAAGACAACTTTATCTTAAACACAAATATTTACGATGTCTTTGTGAGGTAACCTGCATCATTATAGGGCGAGTAAATACTGCTGTCTGAAAACCTACTATCCAACAATATGTATATGTATTGCTTGACTTTAGGAAATGATGACTTAGGACATAATAACAAAAGTATTCTACTGAATATGACTGATCTTACTTCATAAAGTTTAATGACATGAACAGTAACAGTCATTCAATCACGGTCCCTGTAGCCATCAGAGTCACTGCTCCAAGCCACTTCCTCATCATACGGTTTCCCAGCTGAAGTCTGTTCTATGAACAACAGAATATTAACGTGCACAGGGCGTAAGTTGGCATAAAGATAAGGCTGCTTCTTGCAGTTTCAGGTTGCACCAGCGCAAGGTCTAAATGCTTAAATCAAGCCCTGATTGAATACGGCTGGTTGGTTGGTTGGTTGGTTGGTTGTTTAACGCTGCACTCAGCAATATTCTAGCTACATGGCGGCGATCTGTAAATAATTGAGTTTGGTCCAGACAATCCAGTGATCAACAGCATGAGGATTGAATATGGAACATTATGTGGTTCTCCAAAGACAATTGCATTCTCATTTCTCCAGAGGAGTGTGTGTGTGGGTTTGCTTCAGTGAGTTAGTGAGTTTAGTTTTACACCGCTTTTAGCAATATTCCAGCAATATCACGCGGCCGGGGACACCAGAAATGGGCCTCACATTATGTGCCAATGAGGGGACACCTTAACCACTAGGCTACCCCACTACCCGGATCGCGATTGTAACCCTTTGATCAGTATTTCAGTCACACTGGGCCTGACAGCTTAATGCAGGCCTGACATGTTTAAACCCACAGCAAGAGTATGGTGCCAGGAAAGATAATCAGGTCAAATGCACAATTTGAACCAATGAGCATGGGTTTCTAAAATGCCAAAATAAGCATCTCTGCCATGTGAATTGAGCAAATGCAGCCCTTTATTCCTTCTGAAATGTTTACACCAGAGGTGGAACATCAGGGTTATCAACAAAGTCATCCGAGTTTGGCGGCACCGGAATGTCCCTCCTGTTACTGTAGCCTAGGGGAGGAACTGTTTTCTCTGGCTTGTCCTTCACAATGTTCCCGATATCAACACACTTCCTGGCAGTCTCATCCACCTCTAGTAGAACGGGACCTGATCTGTCAAAGACAAAGCATCTTTCAAGTCTCTGTGTTAACATTTATCACCGTCAGGGCAAAATGAGAAGATAGGATTAGGGTAATTTTTATCCTGTTGACAAGCAGGGTGAAAGACAGAAAACTCTGAAACATTGGTACAGACATTATGGGACACCTAGTACATCTACTGTCCATGCAATCTATCCAGATTTAGTATGGTATCAGAGTGAGTGAGTGAGAGTGAGTGAGAGTGAGAGTGAGAGTGAGTGAGTGAGTGAGTGAGTTGTTGAGTGAGTGAGTGAGTGAGTGATATTCCAGCTATATGGCAGCGGTCTGTAAATAATCGAGTTTGACAATAGAGTGATCAAGAGCATGAGCATCGATCTACACAATTGGGATACAATGATATGTGTCAACCAAGTCAGCGAGTCTGACCACCCAATCATGTTAGTCGCCTCTTACGACAAAAAACAAACAATCAAAGCAAACATGACGTTGCATCGTTATTACTTAAGTCAATGGATCAGAAACATTCAATTTTCATTTGTTTCCTCAGTTTTATGGGGAGTATACAAAATGGACTTACTGTTGTTTTTTGTCTTCTAGTTGTGAATCAGGACAATTTTCCTTATTACTTGTCCTCTTGGGTTTGTTGGCTGTGATGATTTGTTTGGTCTGCAATAAGGAAAGTTGGATAAAACAAGAAATACTCTCTTTGAATTTAGTTTTACGCTGCACTCAGCAATATTCCAGCTATATGGCGGCGGTCTGTAAATAATTGAGTCTGGATCAGACAATCTAGTGATCAACAGCATGAGCATCGATCTACACAACTGGGATCACGATGACATCGTGTCAACCAAGTCAGCGAGCCTGACCACCCGATCCCGTTAGTCACCTCTTCTGACAAGCATGGGTTATTGAAGATCAATTCTGACCCGGATCTTCACGGGTCGTTTGTTCTCTGAGGAAATATATTCACCTGAGATGGCAACATCATCCTGTACTCAGGTCCCCCTGGTAATCACATCCAATGTCTTGTCACAAAACAACAGTCTACCCATCTGCATCAACGTTTCACAACTCACTGCATAGGATTTATTTGTTTTGTTTTCTTCATATAAAGTTCTTCCCATAAAATCATCATTTCATTAACCTCAACAGAGTTCTCTCCCTTCCATGTACAGATAAAATCAAATCTATTTGAATTCCATAACACAGTGAATATAAACATTTTATCAGGAGAAATGTATTAGGCCACACTTGGTGAAACAGAGATTTCACTACTGATTATGCTAACATTCTTTCAACATAAAAATGTTGCTTAACAGGCTCAGAATCTTTGTTCATTATTCATACAACAATGTGTGTGTGAGTTCAGTTTTACACCACACTCGGCATTATTCCGTCTATATGGGAGCGGTCTGTAAATGATCGAGTCTGGACCAGACAATCAAGTGATCAACAGGATGAGCATTGACCTACTCAATTGAGATAAGTTGACATGTGCAAGCCTGACCACCTGAACCAGTTAGTCGCCTCTTATGACAAGCATGGGTTACTGAAGATCAGTTCTAACCCGTGTCTTCATGGGTTCATACAACAATGAAAATTGCCAAAATATTCAATTAATATGTAGGTACAAATTCTTTGTCTATCATTTATATAATAACTGTAATTTCTTATTATTCTTTAAGCAATAAAGACAAAAATTAGTTCTTGTTCAGTTAAGTGGAAGAATAAACAAAAAAACCTAACAATTTACGTATGGTAGCTGTAATTTAAAACATGTGCGGTTTAAAAAAATGTTTCCAATGCACACATCAGCACTAAAAACTAACAGCTGCTTTGAGTAGAGAGAAAAAAATTGACATCTGTTAACACTTGACACTTGACATATCACTTCATTTCCGGAAACACCAACTTCACAATTCAAATAATAATGTACATATACTGTTTTAGGCTAATATCCACATAAATCATAATTACAGATATTAACGAATTCTTGTAGGTGACACAGACCTTTGGCATTTTGACTACGAGGTGGCCAGTAATCTGTGACCGCTGGGCAATGCTAGAGTCTGGGTTCACATCCTCACTAAGGCACAACTGTAAGATCTGGAAACAGATACAACTGCATGATGTGAAGACGGACACAACTGTATGATATGAAACAGACACAACCGTATGATATGAAAACAGACACAACCGTATGATATGAAACAGACATAACTGTAGGGTATGAAAACAGACATAACCGTAGGGTATGAAAACAGACACAACTGTATGATATGAAACAGACACAACTGTATGGTATGAAAACAAACACAACTGTATGGTATGAAAACAGACACAACCGTATGATATGAAAACAGACACAACTGTATGATATGAAACAGACACAACTGTAGGGTATGAAAACAGACATAACTGTAGGGTATGAAACAGACACAACTGTAGGGTATGAAAACAGACACAACTGTAGGGTATGAAAACAGACACAACTGTATGATATGAAACAGACACAACTGTATGATATGAAACAGACACAACTGTATGATATGAAAACAGACACAACCGTATGATATGAAACAGACACAACTGTAGGGTATGAAAACAGACATAACTGTAGGGTATGAAAACAGACACAACTGTATGGTATGAAAACAAACACAACTGTATGGTATGAAAACAGACACAACTGTATGATATGAAAACAGACACAACTGTATGATATGAAAACAGACACAACTGTATGATATGAAACAGACACAACTGTAGGGTATGAAAACTGACATAACTGTAGGGTATGAAAACAGACACAACTGTATGGTATGAAAACAGACACAACTGTATGATATGAAAACAGACACAACTGTATGATATGAAAACAGACACAACTGTATGATATGAAAACAGACACAACTGTATGGTATGAAAACAGACACAACTGTATGGTATGAAAACAGACACAACTGTATGATATGAAAACAGACACAACTGTATGGTATGAAAACAGACACAACTGTATGAAATGAAAACAGACACAACTGTATGGTATGAAAACAGACACAACTTCAGCATTTGAAAGCAGGCATAAATGGGAGAATCATTTGCCATTTTACTCAGCCATTATAATGATGCCATTATATCTTTGCATTATGTGAAGAAAAAATAAATGACCAAGTTAGTTCCGATTTTCCTCCCACATGCACCTGAGACACACTGACATAATATTGTTTTAGGTGGAGTTAAACCCATCTCACTCACTAACTCTCAAGCTCTGTATGATGAGTGTTCCCAAACCTACCTTTCCTTTCATCAAGACTCGGACATAGTTGGTCTGCACATCACAGTCCAGGAGGGAGGTGTCCATGTGTCTGAAATAACAACGTTAACGCTCCGTTTATGTACTGTTATGTGGTTAGTTATCATCTATTTATAGCGCAGAGTTCCAGCTAGGCTGTTCACAGGCACTTTGTTTTTCCCTCGATCATTGGATGTCAATTTCAATGGCACATTGTATTATCAATCTCAACTCCCTGGGGATCATGCAACTTTTGCAGACACTAGGCGCACCAAGTTAATGTGGCTTTCCCATCCTTACGAGGCATCCATACACAGCTGGATGGACTGGGACACATAGTCACAGTACTTTGTCCAAGTTTACTGCATGTTGCTGTACCCGCAACTAGGTGTTTGCACGTATTCATGTGGCCACCATCTGGTCATTTACCAACGGATTCGCGGATTCTTTTAAATGCACAGGGTTGTGTACTGTATAAAATAGGGCTTGTGACAACACTGAAAGAGTCTGCAAACAAAGTATGACTCCCATGTTTTTATATCCAGTCACAGGTGGGCTTGATCCCGGCACCTCGAGCTCACTGGATCACTAGGCTGGCGCCTAAGACATCTCGCCCACCACGCCCCTTGAATGTGGTAGCGTTTGGCATTGTGTTTCAATGTTCCAAGTGTATAACATGGTACAGTAGGTGGCCGTGGTCACAGTGCTAAAAGTTGCATATTTAGACAGAGTTCTGGTTAGAGTTCTCGAAGAGTTCTGAAACCCTAAAGGTGTCTACACTACATACAGACCCATGTACAGTCATTGGACATAAGTATTCGTCACTGTGCATAATTTCCATAGACTTACATGTCAATTTGGTGCAGCTAGAAAAATTGTCTTGAATTTACTTTTTGTTTTATTATGTTCATATTTTGCACGTGTGTCATAAATCATCTCAACTGCAAAGACATAATTTCCGTTATATTTTCCATTCAGTATTTCAAGAATAACCACACTTTGATTGATGCGTGTCATGGTTATGACAATTTTTAACATGGCGGTCAATGGGGAAAGAATACACAATGTTGTATATATGTTGCTCATGTAACTACAATGCGGAAAATACTTGAAGGAACATTAAATGGAAATTATGTATCTGTGACCAAGATGATTTCCTAACAATCTGCACAATTTGACAACCAAGTAACGAAACTGAATTAATGAAAATTATTACAGCTACACTAAAATAACATACAAGTCTATGAGAATTTCGCCGACTGACGAATACTTATGTCCCATGACTGTAGTTGGAGAATCGTCTGGAGTCTTTTCCTTAGGTATGGGGGAGGCAACTCTTGCATCTCACATTACATCGAAAGTTACAAGAAGTTAAAACTATTGTGGGAGATTATTTCTACTCTTGATACTCAGCCCATTATAAGAACTTGACCATTGCTGTAGTGAGGTGAATATTACCATCTGTATTGCTGGAAACACTGCCTTTTTTATCATACTGACTGTGAAATTGTACTGTCACACAATTTTGTACTGCCAATTGGTGATACCTTTGTATCGACAAAATTAATGTCACACCATCAGCCAGTCCAATGACCTTGACCATCTGATCTAATGTAAATCATGAAATTAATGCGAAAAATGCATCTGTATATAACTCATCTCGCATTATTATAAGGACTCATTTCAGTCTGACCATGTCTACTTTTGAGAACTTAATAAAAGAAAATGTAAATCTCTTGTCGTCTTTATTGTCTTCAGGTTAGCATTCATCATAACAATACAGAAAATAACAACAATTTAGACATCTCTCATAAAATTAACTGACAAATGAGCTCTTATTTCCATGACACTAATTGATATCCATTAAACTTATTCGTCGGCAAATTATGTAACAATAGCAGAAGTGTTGACACTACACATTACACCAAAACAGGTCACTTCCTCATTACCATGTATCTCAAGTGACATGTAATTATCACTGGTTACAAGAACTGGTCATTGTTTAAAGTCACTCAAGCACATCAGCCAGACCGGACAAATTCTCCAACCACGCAGGATCATCAGTTGTCATAAGACAAGTAGTAGCAAGCAATCACATGATCAAACATGGCAGCATAATCAAAAACATCATCACCTCAGGTTCATCAACACAGATTCCTGAGCTCGCACTAATTTTGTGACGCATTTTAGACTAGACTCTCGCACTTCTTAATTCATGATTTACAGTATTCAGTCACCTGGGGAGGTGGGGTAGCCTAGTGGTTGAAGCGTCTATTCGTCACGCTGAAGACCCGGGTTTGATTCCCCACACGTAAAATGAGTGAAGCTCATATCTGGTGTCCCCCGCTGTGATATTGCTGGAATATTACTAAAAGCGGCGAGAAAACCAAACTCAGTCAGTTCGTACTACCTACAGGATACACACCTATAACAATGAATGATCCCCGACCAGTGTATGAAATAAGGCCTGCCCGACCGTCCGAGACAGGCTAGATTTCTGACGGACGGTCTAAATTTACAGCTAGCCAGCCCGATGGTCTGGTAAAATTTGTGTATGTTTCATACATCTGAGTAAATTCACCATATCTTGGTGTCTGGTCTGGTTAAATCGATTTTTGGCTGGTAACATTTTGAAGTTACCAGCCCTGATGTCTGACTGGGTTTTCGGCTTATTTCATACACTGCCCCGACTCATGCTGACTTACTTGAAGCAGGCTACATCAAGCACCATCATGTTTCCTTCTTCATCGTCTGTTAACGTGAAATCCACGCTGCAACATAAACGGATAACAATGACATATTTTCTTTCAGCTTAAAATCTTCTTTAATGCACTGATATGGTCTCAGCTATGAAAAAGGAAACATCTTTTTGTCCCAAATCAAGGAGTTTAGAAAATGAACAACTTACCCTGGTTCATTGACATTATAGGGGCGACCATCAGGAGCGAACAGAGCTCGAGGTGTTTTTTCTTCTATCTTATTTCTGAAAGAGTAAATATATTCCTAGAATCCTACACAGAGCATGAACAAAGGACAAAAATACCACAACCATATACAAAAGCATATCAATACTAACTGATGAATATTCAGTGCCAACAGTTGCAATAAGAGTTGAGGTGAGGTGAAATTGGGTTTAACGTTGCGCTGGAGAATATTTTGCTCATATGAAGACGTGCATGTGTGTGTATGTGTAGGTGCGGCTGCTTGTACTAGCCCAGACTGAAGCTGGTTTTATAGTGCTAGCCAACTGAGATACCATGCCGCAGTGAAGCATGAATACCCCACTAAGACACATTATACTGACTCCAAGCTGACCAGTCCTTGTTATACCCATTAATGCCGAGCACCAGGCAGGGACCAACAAGTACCATATTTTAACGTCTTTTGGTATGACGCGGTTGGGGATCATGTTTTCTCAGAATCGAACACAGACAATTTTGGAACACTTGTTTGCAATAACAATATTTTTCACAAGGTTGGTTTTGTCTGTTACATTTCATTAGCACTACAAGCTCTTCCAATTCATGATTGAATTTATTTTAAAGACTCCATGAAATTCATGTTCCTAACATACTAGTCATCCTTTAAAGATGTGAAATTCGCAAATACATTTTGTGCAATTTGCAATAAAAACCAAAAGATGTTTTTTCTTTATTTTTTTTGTACATTAACAAACATAACCAGGAAAATTTTAATAAAGGACGCTAACCAATTTTTTTCGATGATGGATCGGTTGTAATGAATCAATCATCAATTATGAGATTTAAACCAATTCCCAACACTACAATACCACTCAGTTAAGAAAGAATAATTCCAGCAAGAACATGTGTGAATCGAACTGTAGCCCTTCATGAATTCAATTCGTTATTTGTGCTCACCAGAAACGAATATTAACGAATATTTACAGTTTTTTTAAGGGAGCACGTTTTACTTGAACCCTTGTGCACTTTTGGAAAGTGAGATATGCAAGAAATGAATATGTACTAGACTTCCAGTAGAGCAAGTCATGTTAGTTTGCCAAGGCCGCACATGGTACTGTCGATTATAACTATTACATACCAAATTTGAGTGTCATGAGATCACTGGTTATTGCTGTGACAAATCAAAACTGTCAACATGGGCGTTCCATATTGTACATCAATCACTTAACTACAATATTGTATTCGTGAATAATTATTCGTATTTGTTACCCAAAATTCATGATACGTATCATATTCGCCACATAGTGTATTCGTTGCAGCCCTAGTGAATATGAACAGTTGACTGTTTAATCATATCTTACAGTATTATTTGTATTGAGATACAGGTATATATAAGCATAAAACAATTACAGCAAGAAAACCTCTGTGTGTGTATATGAAACATTAACTGTATAATGAGTGAGTGAGTTGGGTTTTACGCCGCTTTTAGTATTATTCCAGTTATATCACAGCGGGGAACACCAGAAATGGGTTTCACACATTGTACCCATGTGGGAATCGAACCTGTGTCTTTGGCGTGATGAGCGAACACTTTAACCACTAGGCTATCCCACCGCCCCCATTAACTGTATGCATCATATCTTACAGTATAAATAGTATTGAGATACATGTACGATGTTCATATATCTCGTATTTGTATCATTATCCTCACACAATGTCCTTACTTTTCCTCGTCCCTCCTCTTGGTTTCCTGCATGTGATCATGGACTTCTCGCCGTGACTCGGGTGTGAACGGAACTTTCTCATCCCAAAACCTGGGGGAAATATTTCATCAAGTATTTCTCATACTATTTTTTTCAGACAGAACAGAGTTTGCGTGTTACAGGTTTGAGATTTCAGAACAGATACTGGCATAAAATAAATAGTCAACTTTAATCAAAAAGACGTGTTTGTGTGCTAAACTCTATCTCCTAATACACTTAATGAGATTGAAACGAGGGAGTGAGTGAGTTCAGTTTTACGCCGCTTTTAACCATATTCCAGCTATATCACGGCGGGGTCACTAGAAATGGGCTTCACACATTGTACCCATGTGGGGAATCGAACCCGGGTCTTAAGCGGCGTGACGATCGAACGCTTTAACCACTAGACTACCCCACCACCCCGAGATTGAAACGGCATATGATGACATGGCTGTAGGTCTGGCTATCGATGTAACTCATAGAGATCAATAATTGTTTACCACATATGAACTGATTATTGATAAATATCGAAAAGTAAATTTGAGCTAAAATGCCAAAAACAAGTCCAAAAGAGTGAGTGAGTGAGTGAGTTTAGTTTTACGCGGCACTCAGCAATATTCCAGCTATATGGCGGCGGTCTGTAAATAATCGAGTCTGGACCAGACAATCCAGTGATCAACAGCATGAGCAACGGTCTGCGCAATTGGGAACCGATGACATGTGTCAACCAAGTCAGCAAGCCTGACCACCCGATCCCGAAGTCCAAAAGAAATCAAGATATTTCATATCACTGGTGAGTGAGTGAGTGAGTGAGTTTAGTTTTACGCCGCACTCAGAAATATTCCAGCTATAAGGCAGTGGTCTGTAAATAATTGAGTCTAGACCAGACAATTCAGTGATCAACAGCATGAGCACACTGGGGAGTGGTGACACATTTATTTATGGATCACCAACAAAACCAGCGTCCTGAACTAACTTTAGAAGCAGCCATTGATTATAAACATCACCTAAAATAAAACATTATCTCAATAGTTTAAGCATGAAATTATCAATGACACAATTTTTATATCTATAATCACTGATAATTCTTCCCATTGATGATATTTACGATTATCGATCTCATGAGCAAGCCTTACATTGGTGCATCTGACAACGGTGTATCTCATGGTCCAGAATCACTGAGGCCATTTTGTTAACCATTACAAATAATCGTATATGCATTATCAGCAGAATCAGGGATCACTGACAAACAGCATCATGCTTCTCAGAACAGGTCGTTATTCTGCAACTTACTCTTTCTCAGCATCAAGGTTAAAATCTTCTCCTTCATGGTTGCCTTCATTCTTGTCTCTGAAAAACACAGAACCTTATATAAAACTGAACATAAATTATATTTCAGTATGTATTGTATGTATGTACCTATACCTTTTTGAGTTCTCTACTGCCACAAACATAGAACATTTTAGTTCTCTCCTACAACTAGCAAGAACACTTAAGTCCCCTCCTACAACAAGCAAAGAACACTTAAGTCCTCTCCTACCACAAACATAGAACACTTTCATTCTCTCCTGCCACTGACATAGTTCTCTCCTATAACTAACAAAGAACACTTAAGTCCTCTCCTACCACAAACATAGAACACTTTCGTTCTCTCCTGCCACTGACATAGTTCTCTCCACCACAGCTAGCAAAGAACACTTAAGTCCTCTCCTACCACAAACATAGAACACTTTCGTTCTCTCCTGCCACTGACATAGTTCTCTCCTACAACTAACAAAGAACATTTAAGTCCTCTCCTACCACAAACATAGAACACTTTCGTTCTCTCCTGCCACTGACATAGTTCTCTCATACAACTAGCAAAGAACACTTTAGTGCTCTCCTACCACAAACATAGAACACTTTCGTTCTCTCCTGCCACTGACATAGTTCTCTCCTACAACTAACAAAGAACATTTAAGTCCTCTCCTACCACAAACATAGAACACTTTCGTTCTCTCCTGCCACTGACATAGTTCTCTCATACAACTAGCAAAGAACACTTTAGTGCTCTCCTACCACAAACCAAAAAACACCAGAAATGGGCTTCACACATGGTACCCATGTGGGGAATCGAACCTGGGTCTTAGGCATGACTAACAAACGCTTTAACCAATAGGCTACCCCATCGCCATTTAAGACTGGATAAGATACAGTGGAAACCTGATACGTAAAATTTCAAGGGACTCGCCAAAATTGTTTACTTATCAGGTATTTTACTTATCCAAACTCATCAAAACCTGCAAATGACAACCATATGCATGTATATATATACATATGTAACAATGAACAACTTATCAGGGCTGGCTTCCAGTTGTCAGTGTATTGTCAACTGCTTGACGTCAGCAAGCTGTAAGTAGGATGTTTGTTTGACTGGAGACTGACACGACTGCCCCTCATGTCGGATTATGTGGTGATCGCTAATTTAGTTATCCAGTCTCTTTTGTTAAGTAATTTACTTCCAGGGGCCTTGAGAAGACGTTTAGTTAAGCGGTATTGTTTACTTATCCGAGTTTAGTTAACTGAACTCTAATAGTGATAATTAATGAAGAAGACTTGCGGGACCAAAGAAAAGTGTTTACTTATCAGGTCTGTTTAGTTAAGCGGTCTTTGCTTAGAGGCGGTTTCCACTGTAGTATGATTGAAAATTTTAACTATAAATTGTATATTTATATACTTATCCTATCTCACGACTTGCACCTCTCTCTTCATTCGACCATGAGTGGAAACGAATTAAAACTTTGCTCAAGACCTACCTTGCCCCTCTCCCGCGCTGTGCATGCCTTCCTGTCTCAGTCGCGGCTCACTAGTCCATGACAGCACGAGGTATGCAGTCCTCACCCACGGATCACCTCACATACTCATTCTCGATCTTGGAGCCATAAAAGGACAAACCGAACGGTGGTAATCTATGTAGTGGGAGGTAGGAGGGATTTTATCGCTGAGATAGGATAAGTATATAAATATACAATTTATAGTTAAAATTTTCAAATTTTAAACTTATCCTATCTCACGACTTGCACTTATCCCACGGTAGGAAGGTGGGTCATAGATTACCCGAATTCAAGCCGATAACAGCCAGTGTTACTTCCAAACAACCGTGAGGGAAGCAACTGCAAGGTAGGGCAATAACTACCAAGTTACTACGCATGCAGGGTTAGGTCGAACCCATTGACTTATTAAGCACAATTGCTCCCAGGACCGGATTCCCGAAAGCAATGTGGTGTTCAGTCACTACCTTCACAAAGTGAAAGGACGAGCTTAACGAAAGTGTAATCAGTCGCATCGCCACGATTTCCAAGGTACCCCCGTAATAAAAGTCAAACGACTAGTATCGGCCAGCCCCTGCTTCAAACAACCCCCACAGACACCGGCCCCGAGGAGGGTGAAAGAGAAATTGAATCGGTAAAACTCACAATTTTAACGCTCAGTACCACAACATCATCTTATGACTTCCATTACTTACCACAATAAGATCACATAGATGTGTATAGGCACTTAGGAGCATGAACGCCACGGCGTAACACTTCGAAGGACTCACTTCACTGACTTAATTACTCCGCGGAGCAGAGGACAGTAAGTGAGGTGGCTTAATTTCTGTAGTCTCAAACAAATGAGAGGAGAAAATCTAAATCCCGAAGAAATAAAGACGAAATCAGAAAAAGTTTTTCAGATTTATTCAGATTGTACACAAGCAGAAACGATCGCTTACTTTGGGATCAACTGCACAGTGGGATCCATATAGCATCGGAGCACAAGAAAGTTCATTATCTGCGATGTTGTGCCGCTGATAACTGCTGGGCAAGGACGAAAGTGGTCCAAACTGATGAAGGCCTTGAATATCCGGCACCGACACATCTCTGAGGTAATGAGACGAAAATACCGCGGTCAGATCGCCAAAAACACCCTCCATTATGGCAGTTAACGAAGCAGTTGCTATGCAACGCCATAGTAGAAGCCAAAGCCCTGGTTTCATGAGGGTTGACTGTCGAGGTGGTGGCAAACCGCAAAAGTGTAGGCTCAGAGTATTGTAGCTCGAGCCAATATGAGAGTGTTGTGCGCGAGAAACTTCCGCCTTTGGAAGCCGTGAGACAAGGGTATAAATAGCCTCTTACGCAGACGGGCGGCGCCTTTGGCGATGCTTTAAGGTAAATGCGGCGCTCTGACTGGACAAAGAGACAGATCTTCAACATCTGCTGGACCCAATATGGTAGACAAAGGCGGATTGTAAAAGACGATCAGGTTGACCCGCAACTGGTTTTTGCAATAAAATCCCAGCTAATCCCAACAATACCTTGCCATGTCTACTCTGTTCAAAACGGACACGGTTGATATCTAGAGCATGCAGTTCTGATATACGCGTCGCTGTGGCCAAGGCAATAAGAAAAAGGTCTTGAATGAAACTTGTTCAAACTCCTTGTCCTGTAAGGGTTCATAATGCTCGACACTAAGTGGTGCAGGACCACGGATAAGTCCCAAGCTGGTGGATCTAAATTTCCTGGATTGGTCGGCTAGCTTAAAAGAACGGCGGTACTGCAGTTCCGCACCGGCCGAAACCTTCGCACTCAGAAGTCGCGGGCTAGGACCGAATTAAGAGCCGCCAAGTAGGTGGCTAAAGTGGAACCCTTTGAGTTTCCTTTGTAGCCCGCAAATGTTGTAAATATTCCGCAACAACCTGGGGCGAAGCAGTAGTAGGGGAAGCCGATCCTCTGACCCGACAATAACATTCAAATTTCTTCCACTTATCGCCATACAAAGAACGGGTAGACGCACGATGAGCTGCAGTGATAGCTGAGGCCACTCTGTGAGAATAACCTTTGGCTATTAGTGATTTCTGCAAATGTGCCATACGCGAAGATTGAACGCCTGTGGTGACTCGTGATACACCGAAAGCGGATGAACTAGTAGGTCGCCCCCGCACGGGAAGAGGAATGCTGCTTCGACTGACTAGACTTTTAGGCCGACGAAACCAACTTCTCGCTGGCCAAAATGGCGCTACCAAAAGTAGTTGTACTTTGTTGGTTAACAGAATTTTCTGAATGACCTTGTGAAGTAGAGCCGAGGTGGAAACGATAAGCCGCTGAGGCCTTCCCAAGGAATGGCCAGGGCGCCGTGATCCCAAGCTAGTGGATCTGGAATTGGAGATACTTAATCTCGCAGTTGGGAGTTGAACCGAAAGTGGCAAACAGATCGACACTCGGTCGAGATCGGGTAAATTATCGTCCAAAAATCTTGGCAGGAGTTGCCACTCTGTGGGCTTACGGCGACTGAACGAGACAGAGCCGCCGGCAATCACGCTCTTTGTTCCGGAATGTGCCTGGCTCTTGGCGACGATGTTGAGAGAATCTATCAGAAGATAGAAACGAAACGCCCACTGTAGGAGTGCTGCTGAGCCCGGCCGACTTCTAGGTGATTGATGTACCACACTACCGCCGAAGTTGTCGGACTGTATCAGCAGGTGAGACATCTTGAGTAGAGCCGCCAGTGCTGAATCGCCAGTAATACTGCCTTGAACTCCAGAATGTTTATGTGGAGTGACTTGTCTTCGACGCACCACTGCCCTGCCACTTGATGCTGAAGGAAGTGGGCTTCCAACCTTCTAGAGAGGCCCACAAACAACTGATGGGTTGGACTGAATGGCACCAAAGAGACGCCGGGCGAAACATTCTGTACGCTGAGCCACCAACGAGAATTGGACGTGAGTTCCCTGGTAACCGAATCAACACCTGAGGGTTGTTGGTTTGAAGATGAGGGCGAGAAATAACTGAAGTGGGCTTAAGCTGCAGTTGACCTCTGTAAGTCAGAGCCTGAGCTGACGCTAAGACGCCAGCAACTCCTGCCACTGGCGAGTTCTGGGGTGATCCAAGGCTAGCGAACCAGACGCTGAATTTTGGTCCACCTGTCCTGGGGAACAAACAACTTGGCTTGTTCTGTGTCAAGATTGCTCCTATGAACTGAAGTCTGCGAAGTCGGTGTTAACTCCGACTTCTCGTGAATTGAGGAGCCACCCTAACTGTTTGAGCAGCCTGATGGTGAACTCCCCGATGGATTTGAAGAACGCTTGATCCTGTTGTGCCTGAATACAATCGCCGATATAGCTTTCGAAAGTCACCCCCGAGAATGTAGGAAACTGCTGATGGGTTTGGTCACCCGAGTAAAAAGCCACGGGCCAGAGATTCCAAATGGAAGGACGCTCCATTGGTAGTGATGGCCCCGGGCGGTGAACCTGAGATATTCGGCGATCTGGGTGAATCGAATGTGCAGGTATGCGCCTTGAAGATCTAGGGATATGAGGAAATCCCCTTCTTCAGAATTGAGCGGAGAAGACTGACCGATACCATGCGAAAATGAGGTGGTTGTTGCAGGAATCGAAATGCTGAATGTCTTCATATTGAAGATGAGACGAAACTTGCTGGAGTTTTTCTTTGGCACCAGAAAAATCGGGAGTAAAATCCTGGAGTTATGCACACCTGATCTAGGTGTTCTATTGCATGTTTCTCCAGTAGAGTTTGGATTGTAGTCGAAAGGACTGCAGCCCGATCCAGAGGATATATTTGCTGCAAGGGTTGAGTGGTGAGGGTGGATCCCCACCACAGGCAGTCGATAGCCGCGAATGAGAGTCATTGTGACAAAAGGATCTCCCAGAACCTCCCAGTTGGGAGCAAACAGACCTAACCTCCTCCTACAGGGGAATCGAACACTGGAACCACCGGATCCGCAGAACCAATCCGAGCTCTGACTTCCGCGGAGTCACTGTTTGACTGTCTATGTCCAGTTCCCGTGTCGGGTCGATAGGGCTTAATGGATGCGAACTACCTAAATGGCCTCCCTGCCTCTGCCACGCAGCTTGAGAAGGCTGCGCCTTTCATACAGTCCCGGAGGTCTGGGTTGGAAGGGGTAATTGTGCGTTCGGGCGATGCCAATAGAATCTTGAGCTGACTTTTTGCAATTCCAAGAGATCAACAGATACTTGAAATTGGTTAAGACGGTCCACCTTGGATGCATTTCAGCAATAGCCCCACTGAACACCGTGATCCCCCACCATGGTTGACGAAATAATTCAGCCTTGAATCTATCTTCCCATGAGGAGAAATTCAACGGACTTCGCCGCCGTATTGCAAGTAAATAGCCAAAAATGAGACAATTGCTCAAGACCACCTGGAATTGGTCTAAAATCAGAGTCATACTACCCCTGATGTATGCGCCCTGGTCCGTGATATGCATGGTTGATCACCCGCAGAACAGCCAAACAGCTGAAATAATGCAGCTAATGGCAGGGATAGCATGGCTAACCGTAGTATCTAAGTGAGCCAATTCCCCTGTCTTCCACCAAATACGGCGAAATGGAACGCTTTGCCACAGACCATGGAAATGTCATCATCGACTGAAGGTGCCGCTGACCAAAGTTTCACACCATGAGTATGTGCCGGGATGGTCTGAACCTTGAGCAGACAAACCATCCTTCGCCCTTCTAAGCTTGTTGAAAGCCGCCAAGCCAAGAGAAGAAGGCAATTGTTGAAGACATGGGCTAAAGGAAGTGTGATACTGGCAACATCTCTATTAGTCATGGCATAAGACGGGCCAAATCATCTGGAGATTTACTAAGAGGTAGCTGAAGTTTTTCAACTATCCAGGCTAACACGCGGAGCCGGTTCAACAACATCAAAACTGCCATCAGGAGTGGAGATGTCTGACTGCCCAGGTGAAGGGAAAGTAGTCTGAGATCGAAGTCCGATCCCTCAAATCCCCGAACGATTATTGCTAAGGCACGCCAGACGCATTGTTGAACATGTGAGGACGAAAGTGACACTGATTCCAAGCAGACGAACGGCACGGGCAAGCATGGTATCTAAATCCGCGCTGGAGCCGAATCAATAGCAGGATTCCAAGACTCAGCAATAATCTGTGACCGGGCAAAATAGAAGTGGAAAGGCGCGGAAGGTGAACGCTGATCCACTGAAGCCGCAACGCTGCCTAGCAGGTGAAACCACCCGCATAGAACGGCGCTAAGTTGATGTGTACTATCATGGGAAGGCACTGACCGTGAAGACGCTACTAGCACAAGGCTGGCTAGAGGGGATATTCTGATTCCCCTGAGGTGAATGAGACCGATTTCTATTATCCCTCTGACGAAAGACACCAAGCCGTTAGGTGAACCGGATGGAAATGGCTTAACCACTTCGACTAGGTGAGACTGAACGACTACGGAATCAAAACGCTGTGGTGAGTCGAACGGAAACACCTGTTGAGGTGAATTGAGTCGGAATGTGAAGCGGTTCGTCCTGGTGAACCTATTTGAGTACGTGAAACAGTACGGCCAGAGGAACCCATTCGACTACGTGAATCAGTTCGATCAACTGAACTCATTCGAGGATGTTCTGGTGAGCCGGTTCGGCCGTGTGAGCCGGTTCGGCAGGGTGAGTCGGTTCGGCATGGTGAGCCGGCTCGGCTGTGTGAGCCGGCTCGGCGATGTGAGTCGCTTCGGCAGGGTGAGCCGGTTCGGTAAGGTGAGCCGGTTCGTGAGCTTCGCTATGAGTCGGCTCGGCTGTGTGAGCCAGCTCGGCGATGTGAGTCGGTTCGGCAAGGTGAGCCGGTTCGGTAAGGTGAGCCGGTTCGGCTATGTGAGTCGGCTCTCGAAAGTGAACGAGACCTAGAACGACTCTTGCCAGCCGTGGAAGAACGCATTCGAACCTTCGCACCAGATGGTGATTCAACTCGTGTGGGTGAATTGTTCCGGTTAGATGAAACCGTGGAATTAGGAGAACGGGTACGTTCCAACCGCGCCGATCCCCGCTTTGACGATGAATGCTTAGAAGTTCTCGAAGTCTGTGATCGTTCCGAAGAAACAGACCTACGAGATAATGTAGATCGCAGGTCTGGCGAGAAGAAATATCGGTCGCTACCACCCTGGTACGCCCTGAGAACGTGAACTGGGTGAGGGAACCTCCCTAAAAGCCGCCTCACGCTCTCAGATAAATAGGAATCTGACGGCTGGCCCATAAAATCTTCGCCAGGCGAGACGGCCGATTGAGAACGGTGAGCAGTGAGGGTGGGGCGATCTAAGCATTGTTTCTTAGCGGGAGATGGACCAGACCCCGCAGAAATAGTCCTAGCCCTATCTGCCAAACGCCTGGCACAAGCACGCTTGTAAGATTTAAACGCCTCATTAGACAGACCTGAACACTTAGGACAGCTGCAGTGTCCCAGTCACAAGCACCCACACAATCAACACACGATGTGTGAGGGTCCCATGCTGAAAATACTTTATTACAACGGACGAAAACTTCCGCTTACTGGCCTTAACAGGCTTAACCATTTTGAGCAATTCTCTGACGGTAAAATTTTTCACGCGCCCACTCAGTGGAGCCGACAAGAAAGAGAATGAGTATGTGAGGTGATCACGCAGGAGGATCATGCATGCCTCGTGCTGTCATGGCTGTCATGGACTAGTGAGCACGACTGAGACAGGAAGGCATGCACAGCACGGGAGAGGGGCAAGGTAGGTCTTGAGCAAAGTTTTAATTCGCTTCCACTCATGGTCGAATGAAGAGAGAGAGGTGCAAGTCGCGGAGATAGGATAAGTTTAAAAATAAATGTTTATGAATTAGAGTTACCCCTCCAGATGTAGTGCATACTTTTTGGGCATCTCAGTGAAAAAAAAAGCAGTTTTAGTGATAACTATAAATACTCAACTATTTCTCCATACAGTTTACTTCCTAAATGTTTTTTGGACATTTGAATTTTTTTGATTTCTACACCCCTTAACACTAACAGAGTATAACATATATAAACCTGTCCCACCGTCCTTGACGGTCTATTTTTGTGAAGGACTGTCTATTAAATAAGTAAGGCCGTCCTTTCGATGGGGGAAATATTTGAAAAACATAACTTGGTTTGAACTTCGTCTTAGCAATCATGCTCTTTCTCATTCTTGTTTCAACATTTGTCGATTTTTTATTGTTTTAGGTTTTGGGACTGGCTGTGTTTGTTCAGGACTGGACACGTTTTTGGACAGCAGGTCCTTGGACAGGCCACATTTCAAAACTATTATATACACTGCCCTTAATTGCAAACGATGCTGGATACATGTCCTTTCACCATGGTAACTCACCCTTTTCTTCCTATGCTGTTTTTCTTGGTCCAAGATCTTGGGTCTGATGGCATTCAACTCCTGAAACAAAATGAAAAAACGTTACAATTTAAATGTGCTTAAATTTGCGAAATCTAATGTGTATTAATTGCTTTTAGAAAGGTCACAATACACTTCATTCGTCACCACTCGCCCCTTTCCGTAATCTCCAAGAAGACTCGTCCCCCAACATTTGTCAGCACTCGCCACTTTCCGTAACCTCCAAGAAGACTCGTCACCCTATCAATGCTTGTTATGTGCGAAAATATGACAAACCCATCAGAACATGCGCAATGATTGCGGTGCCTTGATAAAATTAATACCCAGTACTTAAAGGCACAATGTCACACCACACTTCTCTAAAAATAACATAATGCATTTCTCTCAATAATACTAACTATCAGCCCTCAGGGAAGCTACAATATTATTTATCTTACCTCACACATAAATGTCGCTTTCTGATTGGCTGAGCGCTCTTCTGTTATTTTCAATGTACCCCGCTTACATGCGAGTAACATTTCAATGTACCCGGCTGTTAATGGCAACTCATTCTGTACTTCGTGGTAGTAATTCTTTATCTCGAATAACATTGAATCACGTAATGTACGGAAATTACTGATGTTTTGTGAATACAAATCGATGGAAGGGAGATAACTCTAAGTCTGTTTTTCTTGTCAGCAAAATTTAGCGATGGCAACACGAAGATTTGTACCCGTGCTTCAAACAGTTCAAAATTAACATTAAGGTGTTCGGTAAGACTGACTGACTGAGTTTGGTTTTACGCCGCTTTTAGCAATTTTCCAGCAACATCAATGGCGGGGACACCAGAAATGGGCTTCACACATTGTACCCATGTGGGATTTGAACCTGGTGTTCGGCATGGCGAGCCAACGCTTTAACCACTAGGCTACCCCACCGCCCCTGTTTGGTAAGATAAATACATTGTTCACTGGTCCCTCGGGTCCCATGGGTTGATGAATCCTCAATGTTTGTTTATGTTCCCTGAGCCCGAACATCGAGGGTACATCAACCCATGCCCCCCTCGTGACCAGTGAAAAACTTATATTATTCCCAAAATAATTACGTATTTAGATTACAATATTAAATCAAAAAGTTCTAATGAATTAATGCAACTCTACCAGCCAAACATTATTCCAAGCGAACCCCAAGCGAATGTCCTACACATAACTATGTGATTGAAACCAGTTCTGCAATCACTGTCACCACCGTGTGCAAAAGTTTTCGATGTACAGAGCAATTGTTTACATTCCATATATGGCAAGTGTTCCCTGTTTGGAAGCTGTTCGCCTTGAAGTTTCAGTTATCAATTTCAGGCAAGTCGTAAGGGATAGTAAGTCTTTTATTGAATCAATAGGAATTTATGGTGAAAGCATATGCCCCAGTATGTATGATATATGCCAAATTATTGTCGAAAATGTGTGACATTGTTTACATAAGGGCTCTCATGGGGTCCTACTGAGCATATTTCTGACAAACTTCCAGGCTGGTGTTGGAGATTGTATGTGTGCTTCCCAACCTTTTTAGGAAATGTAATTATAAATCGCTAAGAGTTTCAAAACAATAATATTACATCTATATATAACTAAATCAACTTTAATCTTTAACATCTGGCTTATATTTCACATTTCTGGGGATATTTTAGTTTGACTGAGTGAGTGAGCAAGTATAATAGTACGCTGCTTTTAGCAATATTACAGCAAAATCATGCCGGTGGAGACCAGATTATTTTAGTTTAACTTTTTTTGGTCATTCATCCTTTTTTCAGCATATTCATTTAAAATTCCACCAGGGGTCTGGCAGCAAGGTTACCTGAATGTTCAGTTTCAGAAATATTTTGAGTATCTGCTTTAGGATTTAATGTAGCTGAAAAAAAAGATTATTTTATTTGCATATTAAATAAAACAAATCCCATTTGTCATTCTCAAACTCTACTTAGAAATATACATTTGGAAATACAGCTGGTTATAATTATGTTAGAATATGTCTTTAACAAATATTTTTTCTCCTTTTAGTTGTATCAAAGAGACTTAATCCTTTGCTATAAAAAATTAAAAACCAAAACAGCAACAAAATGTACAAGTGCTTTGGTGATATTAAGTGCCATTGGAATTGAGTTATTGTTCTTGTTTAAAGTAGTTCTGATGTTCATGTACCAATATGAAATCCTTCCAGAGGGGCACGAGAACAGCATTTCCCGGAACAATAACATGAGTTGGTCTTGAATGCACACTTTAGTTTTCAGAGGTCAAGCATACTATCTATCAAAGATTTTTGTCTGTGGGCAAACTAAACTGATAAATGTTTGCAATAACCAAGCTGCTCGTAATCTAATATTTTATTCATTTCTCTCCCATTCTTACTGTGATCTTTACAAAATGCAGATTTACTGAAAGAGACAAAAAGCCATTTCGGTGTTAAGATTACACGCGTCACTTGGTTATCACAGGATTGACACGAATTGATGATTTTGGGATTTGGTGACTTGAGCAAGTGCTTGCTGAGAGCGCATCACTTGAAATACATGACCTTGTAGGTTTTACCTCCCCTTGGCAGGTACGCCACACTCTACAATATTCCAGCTATATGGCGGCGGTCTGTAATTAATCGAGTCTGGACCAGACAAACTAGTTATCAACAGCATAAGCATCAGTCAATGCAATTTTGATAAGATGATATGTGTCAACCAAGACAGCGAAGCTGACTGCCTGACAAATCCTAATTCAGATCTTCACGGGTTCCAGTTAAACATGAACTTCAAAATAACACAAATTGGGATCTTCAAGGAAACCAAAAATTATTACCTCCATTGTGTGATTCTGACCATTTCATATGTATGTGTTTAGAAAAGATACAGGATATGGTCTGTATGATTGATTGATTGATTGATGTTTAACACCACACTTAGCAATATTCCAGCTATATGGTGGCAGTCTGTAAATAATCGAGTCTGGACCAGACAATCCAGTGATCAACATCATGAGCATCGATCTACGCAACTGGGATACAATGACATGTGTCAACCAAGTCAGCGATCGAGCCTCAGGCCACCCAATCCCGTTAGTCGCCTCTTATGACAAGCATGGATTGCTGAAGACCAATTCTAACCCGGATCTTCAAGGGTTGTGTATATTTTAAAAGAATGGCGACACAAGACCCTAGATCATAAAGGATCACTACCTCAACACAGCACTAACCTCTGTTTAGAGTATAAGATAACCAGTGCTAAACAGTTTCCGAACTTTTCTAGCCAGTTGGGCTAGCTATGCCTGAAAGTTACTAATCCACAAAATAATTCACTAGCCCTAAATTTGAATGTAGAAACTAAGCAAAAGATTACAAAAATACATGAGAATAAGATATTGTTGGCATGACACGGGTTTCATAATTAAGTTGAAAATATAATGAACATTTTTATCAGGCCTTAATCATGCATGATGTAAAAGTGTATTATAACTTAACAAGTCTGAGAGAGTAATATATACTCAACATCATTGAAAACGCACCACCTGTATTAGTTTGGATTTCCAAGAGCATAAATGAGCAATCGGTGTAAATTTTACATACTTTTGTAGTCCAATGATTGGTAAAGAAAAGAAACAAGAACCAATCCAGCAAAACAGTGAAGTTTTAATTCAGCTGACCATGAAAGAAAGATGGAGTCAAATTGGAAAGTCAGTAATGTGTATGACCACCGTTAGCAGGAACACAAGCTGTGCAACGTCTCCTCATTGAACTGATAAGTCTCTGAATAATGTTTTGAGGCAATGCATTCCACTCTTGTTGCAAGGCATTCTCAAGTTCCCGAAGGTTGTTGATCTGTTGGCGACGTGAGAGGCGTTGGCCGTTGTAATCCCACAAGTGTTCAATGGGAGACAAATCTGGTGACAATGCAGGCCATGGAAGTAGAGGAATGTTGTTGTTTGCCAGAAACTGTGTTGGAACACGTGCAGTGTGCGCTCGAGCATTGTCCTGCTGGAATGTGTGCAGATCTTGATGTTGGTTAAAGAAGGGAACGACGTTGTTCTGAAGAATGGTGTCACAATAGTAAAGGGCATTCACTCTGCCACGACAAACTACCAGAGTGGTTTTGTGATGATAACTCCACCCCATCGATCTGTTTGCACAACACAGTCCTGATGTTAATGTCGACGCCATACCCGTACACCCGTCAGCATTTCGCAAGTGAAAACGTGACTCGTCGGAGAACACAACACCATGCCAATGTCGTAACAACCACAAACGATGCTGTTCAGCCCATCGTCGGCGTTCATGGCGATGTCTATCAGTCAGGATGGGTCCAACATAAGGGTGTCAACACCATAATCCTGCCGCATGGAGACGGCGTCGGACGGTGGAAGCACTGATTAAACCACGTCGGCCTTGGACAGCGTTGGCGGTTCTGGCAGCCGGCAACGTACCATCCCGAATATGGCGCCAAACAATGTCTTGGCGAGGGGTGGTAACATGTGCCTGGCCAGGACGTTGGCGGTCCCTGGTGGTTCCTGTTTGTTGGTACCTGTTGGCAAGTCTTATGATGGTGGAATGATGGCAACCAAATCGCCTGGCAATAATCCTACTTGGTGTGCCAACCTGCAACATGCCCAACGCCCGTTCTTGTTCCTCTGGTGACAATCTTGGCATTGCAAAATAAACCCTTACTTGTGCAGGTACAGCTAAAATGAGAAGAGTTTTTTGCCGACGGCCATTTATACCCCTAATCAGCATGTTTTACGCATGCAATTTGTGCTTTTCGTGTGTGTTCTGCATGAATTTTGTTGTTGTCATGTGATGTGTTCCATGATGTGTTCAGGCAATCTGTTCTTTAATGTACAGCATTATTTATTGCCTTTTGTGTTATTAACAACATTTCCAACGTTCATTTTCACTCTCACAACAATCCTATTACCATATTTCAAAATTTACAGGTGGTGCGTTTTGATGTTCAGTATATTTACAAAATGACCCCATGAAAATTCACTAGCCAGTCGGGCCAGTGACAGAGGAGATGTACTGGCCTAACTGAATTTTTACTAGCCATGGGCTAGAGGGTCAGTGACTATTTCGCACACTGATAACATTACCTGTACAGCTTTTATTCTCTCTGACTTATCAATCTCTGTCCCATCCAGCCACTGAAACGTATAACAACAAAGAGTCAGCATATTCCATCCATCAAAATGGTGTGATAACAAACCCAGCACATTAAAAATTTAATGTTTAATTTCTTGTGTCAACAGCTGACATACTAGTGAACATGTCTGTGTTACAGATGGTTAAAAATATATAAAATAACTCCCTGTCCCTCTGTTCATTCCCAGAGTCACAACAATCTTACATCAATGCCACCTTTTTGGAGTTAAGTGAGGGAGTTTAGTTTTACGCCACTTTTAGCAATATTCCAGCAATATCTTGGCGCGGGACACCAGAAATGGGCTTCACACATGGTACCCATGTGGGGAATCGAACCCAGGTCTTTGGCGTGACGAGCCAACGCTTTAACCACTAGGCTACACCATCACCCTTCTGGAGTCAAAGCAACAGCAGCCAGGGCTCCAGATAAGGGCCGTATCGGCGTATGTACGGATAAAACATATGCACGATACGGTAGGAAATAATTTAGAAAACGTAGCAGATATGCACCACAGCAATGGTGTACGGTCTTAGAATCATTTACAGACATATTTATCTGAAAAATTATTGTTTTATTGTGTATTGACCTGTTTACACAAGAGTAGCGATGTGGTGGTGCATATATGAAACGAAACACACGATTACTGATACTCCATTAAATTCCATTCAGTAAATGTACTCTCTAATGTTCTCTAAATGTACTCTTAAGATTTTCCAGTACTCCTGGGCCTAGATTTTCGAAGCTCTTAGCGCTAAGATAGTCGTAAGTGCCATTCATTAACATTAACTTTACGACTATCTATCTTCAAAATCTGGGCCCTGTATTGCAAAAATAAGGAGCACAGCAGAAAATTATCTGGAGCTCTGAGCAGCAGTATATTGCTTTGTTAATTATAACCCAGAAACTATGGCCCCCCAAAGAGACCTTAGAGCTGCAACTATTGTAAACCTACATGAGTGAGTGAGTATGGTTTTACGCCGCTTTTAGCAATATTCCAGCAATATCACAGCGGGGGGACACCAGAAATGGTCTTCACATATTGTACCCATGTGGGGAATTGAAACTAAGTCATCGGCATGACGAGCGAACATTTCAACCACTGGGCTACCCAACAGCCCCTGAAGCTACAAGTTCTGTGAGTTACGTCTGTCAGCTCTAAGATTTGTTAGTGAAATAAGAAGTTGTGTTATGTTTCCTCACCTTCAGTTGTGGCAATGTGGCAATCACAAAATCTCTGTAGCCTTCAAACTCATTGCAGGGGTTGCCGGTGAGGAACCTGTGCAGACAGATTCAACCTTAAATGTTTCGTACTGGAAACCATTTGTTTAGACAGAATGAAAATGAGCAGATGATGTTAAAAGCTGATGTCGAGTATCGTGCAGAGCAATCAAGCACAGCCCAGACACACCAGCAACTGAATAGTGAGTGAGTGAGTGGGTGGGAGAGAGAGAGAGAGAGAGAGAGGAGGAGGGAGGGAGGGAGGGAGCGAGAGTGAATTTTTACACTGCTTTTAGCAATATTCCAGCAATATCAAGGCAGCGGACACCAGAAATAGTCATCACACATTGGACCCATGTGGGGAATTGAACAGGGGTCTTCAGCGTGACGGGCAACACTTTAACCACAAGCCTACCCAACCGACCACAGTAATATAAGACAGTGGAAGGGAAGTGTAAATGTATCTGAATCACATGTGGACTTTATGAGCTGGCAATTTAAAGTACTTTACTCTGAGAGTAGGGGTTTGAATCCCAAGTGGGACACCACCCAGAAAAAGTTCTAAAATTGGTACTTTATTAAGACAAGGTGATTATGCTTATGTTATATTTGTCCACATATTAAAAGAATTGGTCTATTTACACCATGGAAGAAGCAAACAAAAATTACCAAGAATTTTTACGTGCATTATTTAATGTAATGTGCAGTCCACAAACCCCTTATTTATAATGTTCTAGCCATGATGAGAAATGTGAGTCTCTAGCCATGCAATACTAGATATGACACTGGAACACCAAAACAACATATATACTTACAGTTCCCTGAGATTGTAGTTTTCCTTAAGACTCTCAATACTTGTCAGCTCACCAACAAAGTTTACTGTTAGATCCAACTTCTTGAGAGATTCACATCCTGAAACATTACATAAAGATGTGGAAACAAGTTAATATTGCTAAAATAATTGAATGTTATTGCACTGTTACACCAGACAGTTTGGAGGGTGGAGTGGGATGGGGCTTAATAATAATAATACTTTATTGTCTGACAAAGGAATTCTTTTTACAACAGTGTTCCGGATTTGGGACAATTCGAATGTTGGTAGGCTGGACAAGTAGAAACACAGAAGTTCCAATTTCAAACATATTTATTTCCCATTCCTCTTGTTATTTGTCCCAATTCAAGGTTTGTTTTAAAAAATTTAGATAATTGACAGTATTTAAGATAATTTATAGAAATTTATAGTGACAGTAAATGATTTGACTGTTTTATCAGTTTACATATTCTTGTTTCAGGACTGAAAAATAAACATTGTTTCAACTTTTGGCATATTAGTAAACCATGGTGTGAGACCCTAAAGATGTATACAGCTACTGACTGTCATGACTTGGTTGATGCATGTGGAAGACATGGTGGCTGAGTGGGAGAGACCGCGGACTTTGTGTCACGGACTAGATGCTTGACTCTGAGAGTGTGGGTTCAAATCCCAGAAGGGGCTCAACCCTAAACGTACAGTACTAGAATCTGTACTTTACTGAGAAAGTGTAAGACCAAATATAACACATGTAACATCAAAAAGTCAATATAAGTGATTTGATGATGTCATATTCTGTCATGTAAGTATGGTTGGTTGGTTGTTTGACACCACACTCAGCAATATTCCAGCTATATAATGGTGGTTTGTAAATAATCCAGTCTAGACCAGACAATCCAGTGATCAACAGCATGAGCATCCGACGATCTGTGCAATTGGGAACCGATGACATGTGTCAACCAAGTCAATGAGCCTGACAACCCGATCCCGTTAGTCAACTTTTATACGACAAGCATGGGTTGCTGAAGATCAATTTTAACCCGGATCTTCACGGGTAGCAACAGTACGTAAAGGATATAGACAGAATATCAAAGAAATGGATTTTAAGAAAAATATTTGTCAATCGGTATGTCTAGAAAACAATAATATACACTGAAAGCCTTGAAAAAGAACAATCAAATTTGAATCGAAATCAGAAAAGATGTGCTTTTATGCTTACTATCCAGACAATCCAGTGATCAACAGCATGAGCATCGATCTACCAAACTGGGATACAATGACATGTCAACCAAGTCTGACCACCCAATTCCGTTAGTTGCCTCTTACGACAAGCATGGGTTACTGACGACCAATTCTTACCCAGATCATCGCAATGTAGAGGCTTATTTAAGGACAGAACATCTACAGAGGTGTGCCCCATAAAAATCTGCTTTAGAATTAGTCTTCTGCAAGCTATTATTCATATAAAGAGGCAACTAGCAGGATTGGCAGGTCCAGCTACCTGGCTTGGTTGATGCATGTCAATGTATCAGAATGGCCAGAAAAAATGTCAAAACTGCCACATACAAAAAAAAACATAAGGGCATCAACACTAAAGTCAAAACAACTGCAGGCAAAATGTCCAAATATTATTGTACCCTGATCTAATCAGGTTAATCACTGAAACTTCTCATCCAGAATTGAATATTCATAGACTGGCACCAAATAACCAGAATATTGCTGTATACCGTGAGTGAGTGAGTGAGCTTTAAAAAACAAAAAAATTTAAAACCCAAGACTCAATCAAAACTTTCTTATATACCATTCAAAACAAGTAGGTGATATTCCATTTTTCGAGTATACCACTAGCCAATGCCAATGCATGAGAAAAAAGTAATATATAGCCATACAGATGAAACATTTCCAAAGGAATGGAATAAATTGTCACATTTTCCTTTAATTTCTCTTCATCATCTGTTTCCCCCTTGGCTTCATCATTTGCATTTTACCAATCTTGTAAATCCAATATTCCCTACTTTTTTTGAATGGTATATATACTGAGAGCTGATTCATGAAAAAGCACTTACCTTCTAAATTTTCAATTTTTTCAACATTGTTTAAAGCAAGATTAAGGTATTCCAGTTTTTTTAACTTGCTCACGTTTTCTGAAAAATATAAGAACAGGGAATAACAAAGTTCTCATACATAAATTACGAATATATTACAAACTTCCAGAATGAACTCACAAAGCTAAATTAGAATGAAGAGTGACAGATTATCTTACTCGAATCGATGTATAAGTGCCACAGGAAAAATTCTGCGTGGAAAATTCATAGAGAGACTTTATAAGCATAACAATTAATAAACTTTTCACATCCTTAAAAATACAGGAGTAAAGGATTTCCCTTCATAGTGGAATATTATTTGAGAAACATCTTTCTAATTGAAAAACACTATTTTATAGGAGAAAACAGCAATTTACTCACCTATTGTTGGAATTAAATTGCTCTGCAGGTACAAAATCTTTAAGTCTCTACACCATCTGTCAATGTGCTCAATTCTGTAAAATATATAAATATCAAGTTTAAAAATGCCCTGAAGAATATCTCCTGTGCTGCTGCAACTGTATCCTGTGGAACTCCAATTCCATTAGTTTGATGTTGTTTTTGTGATGTGAAGCAAGGAAATATGTCAACTCCAACAACTTACTGCAAAAGTGAAATCCAAATCTAAAATTTGTTACATTTAACCACTTTCTTAAAAATCATTGTGCATTCATAACTTTTGGCCGTGGGAGCTGTGCCAATTTACACTTATCAGATTGATTGATAGATTGATTGATGATTATTATGGCCGCGGTAAATAATCGAGTCTGGACCAGACAATCCAGTGATCAACAGCATGCGCATTGTTCTACACAATTGGGATACGATGACATGTGTCAAGCAAGTCAGCGACCCAGACCACCCGATCCCATTGTCGCCTCTTATGACAAGCATGGGTTGCTGAAGACCAATTCTAAGCCAGATCTTCACAGGTTTACACTTATCAGAGGGGTACACAAAGTCTGTGGTCTAGACTACCGGTTGTCTGACTTCCATTTTTGTGGAAGACCTGGTGGCTGGGTGGGTCAGATGGCTGACTTTGTGTGCTGGCGATTACATGCCAGACACTGAGGGTGTGGGTTCAAATCCCAGACCATTATGAAATCTGTGGTATAGGTTTGAGTGAGTGAGTGAGCGAGTTTATATTTTACGCCGCTTTCAGCAATATTCCAGCAATATCACGGTGGGGGACGCCAGATATGGGGTTTACGCGTTGAACACGGTTGGAATTGAGCCCGTATCTTTGGTATGTGTTTAGTAAAGAAAATTCACAATTCAACTGCAAAACGACTGTTTTTGCTTAGATAAACTTAATAATAAACATAACAATGTTACCCAACATTATCAGGATTTAATTTGATTAAATAACTGGTTAAAGAAAAATGGTCATTGGTGCATACATAATGTTAATATGAAATTAACATTAATTTGAATTTTGAAATGACTTTCATTCATGTTATTAGGTGAGTTTAGTTTTACACTGATTTTAGCAATATTCCAGCAATATCCAGGTGGGCGATACCAGCCACCCATATTAAAAACAGCCTACTTTTCTATATCCTGCTGATGAAGCGAGACCTCCTCTAGGGTTGATATCTCCAGTTCATTGTGTTCTGCTCGCTTGCGAATCAATGTCTCGGTAACTGAAACAAGTAAGAGTGTCAGTCAAATTTCATAATGCACATGCACTGATAGTTAATAAACACTGACAATCTGCTGGAAGTACACCAGTTGGAAAGGATTATATTATCATCTTTCATTCTGTACCTTTCCTGAACTAAGTTCCTTGCTCTTTTGTTCACACATTTTCTTCTTATTCCCAATTTCAACATGATGAACATTATTTTGATGATTACACAAAGCCATTTAGAAAGTTGTCAAATGTAAGATATGCTATATTTTTGGATTCCACTTTCCTAGTAAAGCACAGATTCTAGCACTTTTGTTGGGTTGAGTCCCATCCAGGATTTGAACCCACACTCCCAGAGTCAGGCACCTAATTGCCAGCACACAAAGTCAGCTGCCTAACCTGCTGTCGATAAGAATCTGTATTTCACTAAGAAAGTGTAATCCCAAATATAACATATGTTAGATTCTTTTGACTTAGTTGATAGTATGTGTTATCAAGCAGCCCAATGAATTGCATGGGGGTTGGGAGTGTGGTGGAGGATTTGTTCAATAAGCACGGGTATATTTTGAAAAATATGGAGCTTCTAACTACTATTAGTACTAAAACAATATGCTGATCCTGTCCATACTCTAAAAATCAATGGTTCTTCCCTTTGGGTCAAGTGCAATACTCACTCCTGCATGTTTTTGGTGGTTTAACAATGCAATATTCTAGCTACATGATGCCGGTCTGTAAATTATTAAGTCTGGACCAGACAATCCAGTGATTGACATCTGGAGCATAAGTTCATGCTATTGGGATACAGTGACACATGCCAGTCAGAGAGAATATGATAAAGTTTTAGTCACCTCTTACTAAAAGCCATGGGCTGCTGAAGATCAATTCTAACCCAGATCTTCATGGGTCCTGCTCACAACCAGGCGCATTGCAAACCAATTTTTTCGTGTAAGCCTGATAGCTTGCAAAGCTTTATATTTGGGAAGTATTGAGGGCTTGCCCAACCTTTTCATCAGCAATCATGTGTAAGCCCTTGATTCTTTGTTATAAAGGTAGCTACGCCCCTGACAACGGATGTTCATATAATCTACTGGAATAAAGTAACTGTGCATTATTTGATGACAGGACCTCATATCAATCTGTATGATTTGATACAAGACATCGTGACACGCCCTTGAAGACATGTGGTGTCCAAATCTTGGGGAATGTTGTTCCATGTCCGAACAAAACACTTGTCCCAAATCAGCGAACGTCAATGGATGATTCTGAGCTAAATGACATAAATGTCGCTCCATTTCATCCCAAGTGTGCTTGATAGGGGACAGATCTGAAGAAATAGCTGGCCAGGGGAGTACCAGAATGTTCTCTGTCCAGGAAATCAGTCACAACACAAGCAACATGTGGACAGGCATTATCTTGCTGGAGTGTGAAGTAACGTCTCTGTCCTTGAATGGACGGCTGCACATGAGGCCCACTGACTTCATTCCTGTATCGCAGACCTGTCCGATTGCCATTGACAATAACAACTTGTGTCCGACCATGAGATGTGATGTTTTCCCATACCATAAGGCCTCCGCCATCAAACTGTCGATGTTGAATAACACACAAGCATACCGTTCATCTCGCCATCTGTACACCCTTGCCCTGCCATCTGAGCTGTACAGATAACATACTGACTCGTCAGTGAATAAAACACCATCCCAACTGTGTCTCCTGGGCCCCGTTCCTCAAAGCGATCGTAGCTCTAAGGTGATCGTAACTCCCATACTTTAACATAGACTTACGACTGTCGTAGCGCTACGATCGCTTTGAGGAACAGGGCCCAGTACCGTAGATGCTCTCTGCACCAGGCAAGACGTGCATTGTCAGTGACGTTGGAGCAAAATGGGATGTATTGCAGGCCATCGGGGCCGAATGTTGTGTTCCCTCAGTTGGTTTTGTACAGTCCTGGAACTGATCAAGCCAGGAATGATTCGAGCAGTCCAACTGGCAGTCTGGAATTGATTCCTAAGTTGGGTCAGCTGAATGTGGTTGACGTCATGCATGGACGGCCGTTCTGATGCAAATCTCCCATTACCCATTATGTTGAAAACATCTCCGTAGAGATGAGATCGTGTTTCGATGGACACCAAAATGTCTGGCCACTACATTTGGGCCATTCCAGTCTTCAGTATACTTCAGTGCTTTGCTACATGTTTATTTAGGTTAGTTTTAAAACTTTTCAAATAACTTTTAATATATGCAATCATATGTCATGCATACTTACTTTTTACCATAAGTATACTATTATCATAGCCATTTGGACTTTTTGCCTGCAGATGCTTTGACGTTTTTGTTGTCGCCCTTATGACTTTTTGTGTGTGGCAGTTTTGACATTTTTTCTGGACATTCTAACATGTGTTTCACCTGCTTTTAATGACAACTACACCTTCAGCCTTAACAGTTTTCTTCAATCCAAATTAACGAGTAAATTTATTGCAAGTTTTTCTTTCATCAAACGGTTATAGACGTGTTGCTTGCCACCATTGTGACCATCTTCATCTTGTTAACACAAATGAAAGTGACCATTATTAGCCCATCAACTTTTTCATCATGGGAATTTGTAGCACAAAGAAAGACATTACTTATTGACCCATGCATCTCTTGAAGGGGAAGGACCTCTTTTGACATGGGTCATCTCGTTGGACATTGGTGATTGTATCCAAAAGCGAGACGAATTCAACGTTCTGGTGATTTCGACGATTGTATTGCTCGCGCTATATCGGGGAAATTCGTGGGCGATCGGAGTGCACAAGCAGTTTAATCAGTGGGGCAGATGCCCAGTCGTGAGAAGTTTTATTGACAATGGATATCTGGAAGTAAAGTTATATAAAAAATTCCCGGATGTGGAGAGTGGCAACAGTTTCATCGATACGATGTCATGAACACTATTTTTGTAGGGACCACTTGATATATTTGCATGAAATAGATGAATATATCCTTCATCACTCAAGGTTAGTAAAATAAAAACTTTAAATCATATTAAACATAAATCTTGTCTTACATTGTCGAAAACCCCTGACACCGGGATATATATCCCAACACAAGCTCAATTCGACGTTCTGGTGATTTCGATGATTATTATTTTTATTTTATTATCATAGGATATTTATACAGTGCGCATATCCAGGGAACTAGTGCATGCTCAAGGCACTGGTATTTGTTCCCTCTATCATTGGATGTCAATCTCAACGTCACATCGTATTATCAATCTCAACTCCCTGAGAAGTATACAACTACGATTGCATTGCTCGCGCTATATCGGGTGAGTACGTGTGCGATCGGAGTGCACAAACAGTTTCACTGGTAGGGCAGGTGCCCTGTCTCTGTACAGAGAAGTTTTATTGACAATGGAAATCGGGAAGTAAAGTTATATAAAAAGCAAACAAACATCAATATTATTTACCCAAGATCGTTAATACCACTTCAGATGCAAAATCAGTTGCCTTTGTAACAAAACAAAGCAAGCGAAAATTTAGTAAGATAAGTCGTGTGCTGGTGACAGGCAATAAAAATAGGAAGCCACGTGATCACAACACTCCCTTGCAGTACGGAGCAAAAAGTATGGCACATCGTCGAAAACCCATAGAAAATATCCGGATGCTATGAGCGGCAACAGTTTCGCCGATACGATGTCATCAACACTACTATTGTAGGAAACACTTGATATTTTTGTGTGAAATAGATGAATATATCCTTTATCACACAAGGTTAGTAAAATAAAAACTTTAAATGATATTACAGATAAAAAATAAGTTTTTGTCTTACATCGTGGAAAACCCTGACACCCGGATATTCCTTGTTCGTAAAAAACTTGTAAAATGTGAAAATATGGCATTGCTGGTTAGCTATTAAAAGAATTGTCTTCTGGTTCCAAAGAAATCTTGTGTACAGACTTGTTCATACAGAACAATGGTAATTGAGACGAATGTTCAGTTGATGTCAACATTAACGGCATCACCCGTTTCCATGGCAACCATAGGCTCAGACCTATTTCCACTGAAATCTTTGTTCCCTGAATACTTTTTGGTAAACGTCCTAATAACAATACACAGAGAGGTCTACAAGCAACAGGCCTACGATCTATTATAGTGTAAATCATCGTTATGAACTGAAACAACAACAAACCTATCCGGCCAGTGGCTGATGACACTGGTACGTGTCTCCAAAATACCGTCGAATCATAAAATATAAACCCCGCACTAGAGCATAGCGAATTATCAAACGTGTAGTTGGAAGCAAAGATAAACTTACTTCTCGTCATCTTGCCTGATCGTGACACAAAAATTGTCCTTATTCACGAACAACCGTCAGGCGATCACCATCGACAAGCACATGCCTGTGCCTATAAAATCCGGCCACTTCCGGCTAATTTCTTTTTAAATTGTTTGAGAACCAAATATTTCAGATATATTATTCACAATGTCAATTATATTATTTTATCAATTTTGACATAGATTCTGTTGATATAGAAATGGAGTACTCTTTGTTTTTATTGTATGGCAAGTGAGATAAATAAAAGCAATACCTTCCCCTTATTTGATTTGTTAAAACCTGGATCGCTGTTGGTCTGTTACGAAACGAAAGAAACAAATATTGGCGTAAGCTCTCATAAAATATGATGATCAACAGGAAATCGACCAACGTAAATTCAAAGTGCCACAAATGCATAAAATATGTAAAGGCCCAGTTTAATATGCGTAAAAGCGTAATATGTGTTAAACCAATGAAATTATGTGAGGAAGTACACGTGAGTGTATACAGTTAGCAATTCACGTTTCTAAATATTTGGGTACTGTCTTAGATTCAAAACTCTCCTGGAATGAAAACACTGAAATAAATTCGTTATTCAGCAGCGCTTGCATTTCTTGTGGAAGTTGAAACAATTTCAGACAAAAAAAAGGGAGAGAGAGAGAGAGAGAGAGAGAGAGAGAGAGAGAGAGAGAGAGAGAGAGAGAGAGAGAGAGAGAGAGAGAGAGAGAGAGAGAGAGAGAGAGAGAGAGAGAGAGAGAGAGAGAGAGAGCAGTTTTTGCTTAAATTCTTCACATATGAGTTGATAAATATTCCATAAGCAACTCATAAGAGCAAAAGCAATATTCCTGTATAGAATACACTGTAGTACAAATTGTCGCTCATGTTATTGATGTTTTTGTAATGATGGTATACAAGAATTAAGTAAAATGTTTGTATAATCACACCAATATACAAGTATGGTATAATACTTTTCAAAACAATCTAGAGGTTTTGTTAATCTTGTCAAAAGGGCTACTGAGAGGATGAGACTTGGCTATAATGAGTGAGTGAGTGTAGTTTTACGCAATTGGGATACGATGACATGTGTCAACCCAGTCAGCGAGCCTGACCACCCGATCCCGTTAGTCGCCTCTTACGACAAGCATGGGTTACTGAAGATAAATTCTAACCCGGGTCTTCACGGATAAACTGGCTAAAAAACATGTTCACTAATTGACATTCAATGGTGTGATATGTTGAGGAAATGTCACATGTCAACTACAGCAGTGTGAATGTATAAACCTTTCAATTCCTTGTACAAATTGATTTCCCCTTATTTGATTTGTTAAAACCTATAAAACATGTTCACTAATTGACGTTCAATAGTGTGATATGTTGAGGAAATGTCACATGTCAACTACAGCAGTGTGAATGTATAAACCTTTCAATTCCTTGTACAAATTGATTTTGGACCAAGGGTAATTCATTCACTGTTTCCATGCATCTGACAAGATGACCAAACTGCTGGAAATGTTTATTGATGGTAAGTGAGGGCAAATAGACAATCTCATGTGATAATTGTGAAGGCTTGACACACAGACTCTGTGGAACTAGAGTGTCCAAGAAGAAGTAAGAGGAAGCGGACAGGACAGGTTCCCTATACCCTTTACATACACCATCAGTAAAGAGACACTCACGGAAAGCAGTCGCATTGGCCACTCTGATGGATCATTTCGTGGACGTGTTGACAGCATGATGTGAAGGGTATCTTCATCGGGGGAATGTCGATAGCTGATAAATTGAGGTCAAAAGTAACCGTCCCGGCTACCTCTGTCATCATGGAGCGCAGTAGTGCAATGGTAAGGTGTCTGTCTATCACGCTGAAGGCCCGGGTTCGGGTCCCGAGGTGGGCACATTTGCGTAGTATCCTTGGACAAGATACTTAGATACACATTGTCTCAGTTCACCCAGCTGTAAAATGGGTACCCGTGAGGATGTGCTGGCAATGTGAGTGTTTAGTACATTGCGCCTAACAGGCAGCATGGCTGTATGATCCCCAGTGAGTTGAAAAAGTATCGGAAAGTACGATAGTGTCCTATGACCGGGGATAATAATGTATTTAGCGCCGTGAGCAGGCAATGTGCCTGGATATGAGAGCCATATAAGAGGACTATTATTTTTTTAAAGATTTTACTTCCAAATATCTTTTATATGAAGAATATAATATCAAAGTTGATAAAAACTATGCCTTTATGTCATATGCTTAATCATTTTGAAAACAAATGGGGCATTATGACTACCCCGCTGGAGCAATGTGACCGAAAATATGGAGCAATTTGACCATTTGCTGGGGCATTTTGTAACTGGGGCAATTCGACTGGTACCCGGTTCGGGAACCTGTCTGTTCAGAATAAAAACAAACTCTCCAAAATCGTAAACACTGCGTCTAAGATTAGTGGGCTTGTTACGACGTAAATTGTTATAAAAATGCAAATTGTAATACTTGCAGCAAATTGTAATAAACTTGACGTAAATTGTAATAAAAACGTAAATTGTAATAAGAATTGACGTGAATTGTAATACGCAAATTGTAATAAAAATTGACGTAAATTGTAATACTTTTTGTTGCGGTAAAATGTAATAAATATTTACGTAAATTGTAATAACAGTTTTAATCACTCGTAAATACGCGGGTGTTTGTTTTTCGTTGCATTTCATACATCAAATAAGCTTTTTAGGGCGATAACTCAAGAAAGAAATGATGGATTTTGTTCAAATTTGGTACCAAGGTATATTGGCGAGATTCACCGACACAAGTGAAATGGAGTGACTTTGAGATAATTTTCAAGGTCACAGCAAAAATCTGAGGGTTTTGCCAATATAAAGATTGTTAGCGCGATAACCCAAGAATGAATTGACAAATCTTAGCTAAATGACGAAAATGATATTCGTCCTGATATATAATCGATATAAACTGTCCTCTGTATCATGTCTTTTCGCAAATATCTTTTGAGGTTTTGATATGTATACATATAAAGTGGGGGTGGGTTTCTAACGGGTATATCTAACACACTTGCATGCATGTAGAGTCGGAGAGGTGGGTGGGTGTTCTAACGGGTATAACTACAAGGGGCGTTCAAATAGTAGTCAGCCTCACCTAGAATATGATACAAATGCAGCTGTTTTTATGATTTATTTTTCTACATATTATCTGTCAGCCTCAAGCAAATTGATTTTGCTATGTTGCAGCCGCACGATCCCATTTTGTGAGACTTTGTATCTTGGCTTGGTACTCCCAAAAAACGTAAAATCTGCAATAAAATGCATCACAAACTTCAGGAAACAAAATATGCTATGTTTGAGATTGGCAGAAGTCGTCTAGAATCAAACCTAGATATTAACTGCACAAAAAGGCAATTTGAAACTACAATCGCTTTTTCAAATGACTCCCGATTCTGTTTACTGAAAGAACTCAAGAAAGAAATATGGATTTTGTTCAAATTTGGTACCAAGGTTTATTGACTGGAGATTGGAGATTTACCGACACCACTTGAATTTTGTGACCTTGAGGTCATTTTAAAGGTCACAGCGAAGGTGAAACAGTTTTGCACATGCCAAGCTTGGTAGCCGCGAACTCAGGAAAGTATTAATAGATTTTGATCCAATTTTATATCAAGGTGTATTGGCGGGATTCCCCCAACACCAATTGATTGGGAAACTTGTGCTCATTTAAAGTTCACAGTGAAAAGTGTTTTGCACATGTCTAACTTTTTAGTGCGAAAATACAAGACAGAATTAATATGTTTTGCTTAAAGGTAGTACCAAGATGCGTTGGGAGTATCGTCTAACGCCAGTCGAATTCAGTGACCTTCGGATTATTTTCAAGGTCACAGCGAGTATTCTTGGATATCTCCAAACCTAATGGATGGAATTTGTTCGCATTTTGTATCAAGGCATCAGATAATTTTCAGGGTCAGACAGAGGATAATTGCTACATTCAGATATCGACATGTGGCGGGGGTAATAGCTATATGTTTGTGACAAACGCTTTGTCATTACTAATTTTCAAATTTTTGTTAGCATATGGTTTCTATAATTTCATGTTAATTCTACCAGATGTGAAATTATTCGTGACACGTCTTAAAAAAGCCAGAGATTATTTGTGTATGTTTCGAAAATTAAAGTTAATTGTTTTTCATTATGGAGTTATTTTCGATGTTAACGCAAGGACATATTTTACGAGCAATAGCTTTCAATAATTTAATTTTATTTCTATTACATTTTGAAGTTCTTCATAGCATATCCCAAAATAACAGGATATTATTTGTTTACGCTTTGAAATGTACGTTTCTTTTTCTTCATTTTCGAATTATTTTCGATGTTGACGCAATGACATATTTGAAGTTAATTTAATGTTTTAATCATATGTGATTTATTATGATTTATGTTTCGATCATACATTCATATATTGCGTTGTCATAGTTTAACCTGGTTCGTATTATTTTCTTCATCATATTACTACATATTATTGTATTTTTATGAGAGGGAATTTTAAGTTACATTTGCTAAGGATATCATAAATCGCTGGCGCCTGGTTATTCCTTGCCACATAGCAGTCAATCTGTCTCCTCATTTGTTGTATTTGATTGATGCATTTAAAATAAAATGTAGAAATGATATTGAATTGCATCATTTGCTTCAAGGAATCGATCAGATGTGCTCGTTATCAAAGTAAAGTCAAAACTTCTTTCTGTAAGGTATACAGTGGAAGTTGACACCTTAATTGTTATGGGTAGACCAAAGAAATCATTTATTTAGTTTCACCGCTCAAAATACAACAAAGAATTCAACGGGTGGCATTAACCTCAAAGAATGATAATAACAATGCTTATAACATACGAGGGCAAATTTATCGGGGATAATTTGTTTTCATGCGATATGCACCGGGTAAAATATCACTTTGTCATGGTGACATGACATCATGAACAATATTATGGCGTCACGTTGCTTCTAAGAAGCCGCCTTCTAAATATAACGATGACGGGGAGCCTGCCTTTGTTGGAAAGTAGATTATCGCGTAATTTCCGCAATTAAAGACTTCGTTAATAAATAGAAAATTATATTCGTG